TTAGCGGATGCAGCACCCAGTCCGGGAAGCAGTCCTCTTGAGAAATCGCCATAGCCCTTGGACTGACTGTTGCCTGGGAATTCCAAACTGGTAGTTGAATTTCGGTGTGTTTTGGGAGTCTTCTTGGTGGTGGAGGATTTGTTGACCTCTGGGGGCGGGTGAGGAGGAGGGGGAAATCGATCTCCGGGTTGCATTACGCTGTTCTCTTTTGACTGTTCTGAGGCAAGGTGAGCAGCGGGGAAGGCGAAACCCTTGAGGTTATTGAGGCCGATGAAACGGTAGACGAACTTGTGTCCGTGCACCTTACGAATTATGTTCTTTTGGTAGTAATACCGTAGAGCCCGTGAGAGTTTATCGTAGTTCATGCGGTGATTATTGTCTTTGCGTAGTCCCCACAGACGGGCCACCTCCTCGGCGCGCAAAAGGACAAATTCACCGGCATTGTTCGTCCAACGGATGAGTTCAGCATACCGATGGTCCAGAAGTAATTGTAGCAGAAATTGCCAAAGGGTCACCTTGCCCTTGTTGGAGTCAAATTCCAGCTGTTTTGAGTTAAAAAACACAAGTTTAAGGTTTTAAAACACACAAGTTTAACACAAGTTAGGTGAAAATACTTGTCAACAAAAATTATAAACTGAACGGTTCTTTCGGACGTTATGGTTTCCAAACCATCCCTTTGGAGGGCGTGGGAGCTTAAACCCTTTCATCTGTATTGCGTTTACCAATATGTCCGCTATCCTCGGGTTAAGCCCTTCGAGCTGACAAATCCTAGCCTGTTTATATCCAAAAATACGAAATAATATCAGAAACGCAACACAAAATCACTACTATAGCAATGCTTGCTGGTATATTTCATGAAAATTCACTCAGCGCAGCTAAGAATTCCGACAAAATAAAATTATTTTTAAGTTTAAATTTCGCGTAGAACCCTGGCAAAGCCTTAAAATTGGGCACATTCTTTAAAAAAAGCTTTTCCAGCTTTTCAGAAAAAAAGGTGAGCTCACAAAAAATTATTTTAGGTTTGACAGCTTTGTGTTAACAAGTGTGTCAAAATGTCTAGGTGATTTCCCAATAGGCGACAATTTGCACTTCTTGCTTATATTTATTTTTGATGCCCAACACAAGCTGTGACGATCATCACCTTTCTAGCCGATTTAACCGGCTACAGTCACTCATTTGTGACGCTTTTGTCTACTTCATTTTGCGCTTGATCAAACCGATCTGTATGTTCACTTGAGTTCCGACAGTGAGCCGTGGCTCGATGCTTAGGACGTTGGACCTCTAAGCAACAGGTTGAGCCTCAGGTGTTCTAACACCTGATAACTGATAACTGCTAAAAGGCCAACACCGGCTATTCTAGTCTCGCATGTCCTTTTGCGAAAATGTCTTTCTGTCGATAATGTAATAGCAGCTGAGCTACCGCCGACGGTGCTCCAGGCTGAGCCCCAAGGCAAACCGAGACGACTGAGTCTCGTAACTGCTCGATGAGCGTTCATCAAACACTCAATGTATATTTGTATACTACATACTAGGCAATAGCATTTGTCTGGACGAGTAGCCGCTGCGCAGCTGCTATCAGGGCCCAAAAAATAAGACCTAAGGCAGAGCGGTACGAGTGAGGTCCGTTAGCGGTGCGTGAACGTTCACTAACGAATATATGTATATATTAAGGTAAGTGCGAACTGATCCGATGCTATGCAAGAAAATCGTCATCCCAAACAAGCGTCACTTCTTTAACAAGATCAGCTGCGTGAAGTAGGAGCGGTGTGTGTTTTCTCTCGGAGCAGCCGTTCAAAAGAATACCGAACAGACACGGAAATTGTCGTCATTGTCAGAAGTGGCAGTGACTGAAATCAGCAACTGCCGCTTCCAAGCGAGGTTTCGGCTTTGCAAGAAGACAGCTTTACTATCGTTAGTGTCCGTGAATGCACAAGAACAAACTCTGGTGTCGCGAAACGATAGTCCTATGATGATCTGCATTCCCCGCGATGGGCTGACGGAAAAATCAAGCAGAACTTCCCATTTCCATCCTGCGTCCAGAAGAAAACCCTTCAACGTCACCCCTGCGACCCTTTCTATATTCCTCACCTCAGCTGATAGATCATGGGCCCGGTGGCGTCAGTGGATAGGGCAGTTAACATCTCTACTTTCGATTCAAACTTGAAGTGCGTCAGCACCTGGAGTTGGAAGGGCATTTACTGAGGACAACTACTAATACAGTAGTTGCCGGCTATTAATCCCACGGCTAATAAGCCCAGCCGCGTATTAAGCCCACAT